TTTTGGTTTTCTAATTTCAGATCCTTGCACATCGCTTCATTCATTATTTTGTCTTTTCATTGTACCCTTTAAAATCTTCAGTTCTCTTATTTCATCATTTCTTTCTTTTGCTTTAGTGACATTACATTATAGAGTAATTTTCGGTGTCTTCTAGCATTTTTGCTATTTTCTCTTATTCCTGACTTTTTCATTACATTTTTGGTTTCTTCAGTTATTATGTTTTGAATGTAATCCCACAACTTTTAGGGTTTTAAGTCATTAGTATTTAATGTGTTAAATCTATTCTTGTATTGGTCTGTAAATGCAGGTAAAATGTACTCAATGTTGTATTTTGGCTTTCATGGACTTGTTTTCATTTTCTTCAGCTTCAATGTGAGCCTTGTATATAAGAAACTGATGGACTGTTAAGCAGTCAGTCTTTGACCTTGTTCTGACTGATAATACTGAGGTTCACTATCATCTCTTTTCACATATGTAGTTCATTTTATTCCTATATATTTCTTCTGGTGAGATCCAGGTGTATAGCCACCATTTATGATGTTGAGAAAAGGTAATCTCAATGAATAAGTCATTGGCTTTGCAAAATTCTGTCATGTGACCTCTAACATCATAGCTGTCTCCAGGGTCATATTTTCCAACTGCTAATTCTTCATCTTTGTTTCCAACTTTTGCATTCCAATAACCAATAATTATCAATGTATACTGATTTCATGTTTGAATAATTTCAGACTGAGTAAGTTGGTAAATTTGAATTTCATCATCTTTGGTATTAGTGCTTTATGGGTACATTTGGATAGTAATCATAATAACTGGTCTTCCTTGTAGGCATACTGATGTCATGCTATCTCTGACAACATTGTACTTCAGTACAGATCTTGAAATATTCTTTTTAACAATAAGTGAGATGCCATTTCTACTTGACTTGTCATTCCAGGCATAGCAGACAAGGATAACCATATGTGTTATCAGATTCAAAATTACTATTATCAGTCCATTTCAGCTCATTAATGTCTAGGCTATCAATCTGTATGTGTTCTATTTCATTTTAGGAGATTCCCAATTTTCCTAGATTCATACTTTATATTTTTCACATTTAATTTATTAATTGATGCTTGCAGCTCACTCTTCTCAGTTTGAGTTATGCAAAATCTTCTGTGCAAAGTCTCAAAACCTTTGCTCCAACCAGGTCATTAAAGATAACTCTATTTTGATGAGGCAGGTTTCCTCTAGATGTACGTTGAGTGTCTTCCAACCCAAGAAACTGATCTTTCAGCACAATATCAGACAGTGTTCGAGCATTATATCAGACAATGTTCCACTGTTATTCATAAGGTTTTCAATGGCCAATTTTACAGAAATGGCCTGCCTTTTCCTTTTTTCTAGTTTGTTTAAGTCTGGAAGCTGAGCTGAAACTTGCATGATTCTACTGGTATTTGAAATACTGAACACATAACTTTCAGCATTCTAGCAACACACAGTCACCACAGTATAACAAACTAGTAGATGAGTGATGTATCTATATTGACTGAGAAAATAACATCATCATTTATAGGAATCATATCTTTTCTAAATACAAATTCCATAAATTTGAAATTCTGGAGAGAGGAACTAAATGGGTTGACAGAGGCTCTACTGCAAACAGAAGTGCTCTGACCCAAAATTTAGTAGTGCTCTGTCCTAAACTTACTTTGGCAGTTACCACCAATGTGTATAGAGTTTAGATATGGTCCAGATCTTGGTGATAAAATAGATTGAAATTATTGTCAAGTAACTTTACAAAAAAAGGAGTCCTGGTAGTGACATGGCTAAATGCTTGGCTGCTAAGCCAAAAGTCAGTGCTTCAAAACCACCGGAAGCTCCATGGGAGACAAGACCAAGCTAGAAAACCCTATGAGCTAGTTCTACTCTATTGTATAGGGCCACTATGAGATGAGTCTGAACCGAACCAACATTAAACAACAGCAGAAATCTAAGATAAAGGGATTGTAGGAAATATCATCAAAAGTACTAAACTAATTTTTTTTTTTCAAATGCTCATAAATGTTTATTAATTGTAACTGCAATAGAATAAATTAAAGATGTGGTTGACAGAATCAGAAGGATCTCTCAAGGCCACACTGGTACTCGGGAAAAACTGGAAGATGCCCACAAAGGTACCAGAGTTAGTCGTCTTCATCGGTTTTGCTGATCTCTTCATACACGACATGATACTTTCTTTCATGCAGCCTATGAGACCAGATGTTAGTCTCCTTTTTCATGGGTTCTACGGATGTTGGCTCTTCCTTAGGCTGTTCTGCGCCAGGCATTTTCATCAAGCCTGCTGTCCCTGGCATTGCTTTTAGAAAATTTTCATTTTGTGATGTCTTCTTGGACTTCATCTTTTCAATGTGAGGGTCCCATATAAACTTCCAGAGTTTGATCAGTTGCGCACTGAAAGCCATCTGAGGCGGTTCTTCCAGGTCCTCTTCTTCATCAGAGTCATCCATCTTGGGGGTCCGTATATCAGTATTCATGAAAGATGGGTTGGAAGTGTTCAGACCTAGATTAGCCATCACATCAAAGCTTCTTTTTGTCAAAGTCTGTATCTCAAAGTCTCCCATCTCTTCCGAGTCTTCTTCAGAGAAGTATTTGGCAATCTCCTTGAAATCCTTGCTCTTCCTATCTGATTTCTGAGTATCATGGTTGGAGGATTCGGCAGAAGTTGTGTCAATGTTCATGGTACTGGTCGCCAAGGGATACAGTCCGAATCACTCAGGCACAACACCAACACTTCTTACCACCTTTGGAGTAGATGTGAAGCCGCGAAGAGTTGAAAACTTGCTCCCTAAACTACTTTTGATGAACTAAGTGAAATATAGGTAGAGGTGAGGACAGTAAGAGTCCAGAGAAAGAAACACATAATTAATTATAAATTGGATTTTAAAAACTCAGTTGAACACTATGTGAGGGTAAGCTAAACAGAATTGCTATAAAACCATTGTTGTTTTGAAGCGCCATTGAGTCAGTTTGGATTCATAGCAACCCTGTATAGTGTTTCTGAGTAGCAGCTGGTGAGTTTGAATGGCTGACCTTGCAGTTCAAATGGATTTGCACAAAATCACAGACGTATATATAAAATTAAAATATCAAAATGTCAAGCTATTGCTTCTCAACATATTTCCCATCTAGGTCTATACATTGATGTAGGCAGTGTTTCCAGTTCTAAGAATTTTGTTCTCTTTGATTTACACCAGGTCAAAATAGCAGTTTGGACATCCTGGAAGGACTCAAATTATTTTTCTTTTAAGTGTTCTTTGGGTTTTAGGGATAAAATGATATCTTGGGGGAAAGATCAGGGCTATAATTTATAGGAAGTAAAATTTACCAATAAAAATCTCATAGGAAAGTCCTTGTTACCTCAAATAATAAGCATGTACACTGTCATGATGGATAAAACTTCTTCTGTGCAATTTTATTGGATTTTTTTATCAAGCAGTTTTCAATTTTGTTAATACTTCTTCATAATCCCCCATGACCATGACTGTCCTGTGTATTTCAAGAAAATCTATTAAGATTACATCTAACTTTGCTTTGAATTTAACTGGCCCAACAAATCCCCTTGGAAGTCACTCTTAATTGGACCTTGACCTTTAGATTATATACGTAAATCTAAGGCTCAACCCCAATAAAATGTGTGCCATAAAACTTTCTTCATTAGCTTTAATATTACTTAAAAGACTGGTGGAAAGAACAGCTCTTTGAATTAACTAATCTTCATACAAAACTTTTGCCACCCATGAAGCAAAAAGTTTACTGAGACCAAAATATTTGCTTAAAACTTTAATGTCAATACATGAGAAATGCCTACTTGAGTAGCTATTGCACCAATGGTAATTTATGGTCTTCTTCCAAAGGTTTTAGGACTTCAGAAACAGTTTCTTCATTTAGGATGATAGTCTTCCCTATCTTGGTTAAACTTTCTTTGAGATGTTCCTAACCTTCCTTAAAACACTTGATCCATCTAAAAACTGTTTTATGTGGGGCAGCATGCTCATAAACTTGTTTTTAAGCTTCAATGATTTGGGAAGATGTCTATTTCAGTTTTCTTAAAAATTTGATACTGTGACCTAAAAATCATTTATTTTGTTTTTCCATTGTACAAAAAGTATCTATTTTTTTGTTTTGTTTTGAGATACCCTAAAGAAACTAGACAAATGTATTACTGTGAGAACTTGTCTGAAGTCCTTCACTGATTACGATTTAAACTTTAATATTTAAATACAACAAAAATCTATAGTGACCAATTTAAACACATATGAACTGGAAGCTACCCTTGTATAAACTGATGATCACATGATGTAGAAGAATGTGGGTATTTAATTACTGAAAAGTTAACTTCAAGATGTTTTTCTCAAATCACAATACATCCTTTATAGTCTAATCACATTCATTACTAGACTCACAGTCATCTACTAAAGTCTGGAATGAACCCAACCATTAATAACTTTACTAATTAGAATAATAAATGGTTTATGATAGAAAATAAAAGTCATATAGCTCAAGTATCTTACTTATAGGAAAGTAATTGTTAAACTACATTCTATTATTTTCTAATTGACAAAAACACAACACTTATTTCATAAACCATAGATGTGTTCAGGAGTCCTGGTGTGGTGCCATATGATAAGCACTAGACTGCTAACATCAAGGTTGACTTCAAACCTACCAGCTACTCCTAAGAGAACCTAATAAGGGTTGCTATGAGTTGGAACCAACTCGACAGCACTTAACAACAACAAGAGATGTGTGCATCCTTTTGTGTAGACCTTCACTTTGTAAGAAACATTTCCTAATGGCTGAAAAATGGGAAATAGTAAGCATAGCAACCACATACTTATCTCATTTATCATAGCATCTCCAAACCAAACAACCTTCAGCAATTCCTAAAGATGTCACATCATTATTCCAAATGATGAGCTATTGGCACAAAAATAAACTGTATTCAATACACATCCTAATGTTGTCATGACACAGTAGAGTAAAATGTATATTTTGAAAAATCTACCAAAGGGGTCAGAGGCTGAGCTTGATGGCAGACAGGGTAGAGGTACAGCGAAGTTTTCTGTCAGCAATACCACAGAATACCAGATGAAGTGGGTTCAGGGCAGAGTTCCCAAACTCTTAACCACATATCTAGGAATATTTAAAAAGTCTGAAGGCTTATAGCTAGTGAACTTATAGTGGAAGTAAGAAATCCCATACCTTAGAATCTTCCAGGCTCGGTGACCTGGAGCCAACAACTTGAGCGAGACCAAATGGCAAGACCAAGAGGAGAATAAGCAGATCCAGCTCAGAATAAAGTCACAGGAACCTCAGAGCAAAGATGGACAAAATACACGGTCAGATTTGCTTTGTTCTGATTTTTTTTTTTTTTTTTTTGTATCTGTTTATTGCCCACCCACTCCATTTTGGTGACTAGAGAGGGTGCCTGAGTAAGTGGACACCCCCCCACCCCTACTACGGGTGGGTTCTTCTGTCGCACATGCACACAGAAACTCTCAGCATTTTCAGAAACAGGTAGCTCAGCAGCTAGCCCTGAACAGTTTACTAATAGGGAAAAGGCCAGCAATAGGGTTGTGGAGAGGGATAGAGAGTTTAAAAACAAAAGAGGCCAAAAATTAAATGTTGAGTTACAACATAACAACCAATAGTGGCATCTTAAAATTTATCAGGCAGCATTGAAGACAAGAAGCTGAAAGCAGATATTAGAATCATACTCATATTAGGCTACAGATTTTGTTTTCTTTTCCTTCTCTCAAGACTCTCCCTTTTCTGCAATTTTAGACTACAGTATCCAATCTAGGCTTTGTTGTTGTTGTTTTTTGGTGGTTTTATTACTTTTTCTTTCTTTTTTTTCCATTTTTCTTATTTTTTTTTGCAGTTTTTGTTTTGTAGTTTTTTTATTACCCTTTTTACCTTTGGGTGACTCTTTATCT